GTGAAGCCGATCCTTTGACCAAACATGTGCTAAACAGTTGTGGTATCTCCCCTTCTGCCCTGGCCTATTCGCATTTTCTATATCCTATCACACCTTCACTGTCACCATTTTTTTACTTGCTTAATTAAATGTGGTAGGGTGTGACCTTTTGAGTGGCTTTCATGAGAGCCTTCCGCACTCCACGCTAGCCTTCTCACCCCCCTTCATCCTTGTGGTGGGAATGTTGATCAGAGTCTGCCATATTGTTACGCAATCCTCCTTCGATAGGTCTTATCACAGTCTCTCTCTTGCCCCGTAACATCCGTCTGCCCTCTCCCTGTTTTACATATTTCACTCATTAAAAGATAGCTGTTAAATACTTTTTTTACTGAATGAAATGGATTTATTTTTGCGTTCCTGTGCTATGAATAGACTGTGATTATCATGTTTTTCCTCCAAAACATATTCATTTTGCGAGTTAGATTCTTAAGCTTTTTTAGGAACCCAAGAAAGTATTTTAGGAGAAAAGAATATATAATCGAAGGTATGAAGACCAAGATTATGTGGCCTTTTGTGTGGTCGCAGTATCCTTTGTTATATAGAGGTTGTTTGATCTTGTTTTCGCAATATGGTAATATTGGTAGGAAGACTTAGAAGAACGCACCTAGTCCGGAGTCCATTGCCTGCATGATCATGCACGATGCCGGCGAAACGTTTGGTAATGTACCACGTCCACGGTTCAACTTTTGAAATTATCATGCAAACAATGGACTCCGGACTAGTTGCGATCCTCTAAGTCTTCTTATCAATATAACCATGTTGCGAAAACAAGGTCAAGCAACATCTATCAAAAGCATATATATTTTGTTATGAAAATAACGTAAGTTTATTACTTCTTTAGCTAAGGAAGGTTAAGGATAAAAACGAAAGAAATATCCTCGGCGGCAGTTACCTAAGTGATTATAAGGTGGTAAAAGAACTGAACGTAACAATATAAAAATTAATTTAATTTTTCGTCCTTTATTATCTAACTTAAGTCTACAATAAACTATGAATCTTTATAGTATAAATAATATTAGGCAAAATTAAATAATCGAAGATATAAAGACCAAGTTGATGTGGCCTTTTGTATGGTCGATGTCTCCTTTCGTTGTATAGTTGTTGTTTGACCTTGTTTTTGCAACTTTGTCATATTGACATGAAGACCTATTGGAAAGCACCTTGTTCGTAGTCAATAATATGCATGCTAATTTTCAGAGTCTGACCATTTACTTGGTACATTCCCAGACGTTTCGCCGGCATCGTCAGTGAGCATTGTCATTGCCACTACAACTCGTCAAAGAGACAAGGGAAGTCCATCCTTTGACCAATTCTCTGTTAAACAGTTGTGCTATCTCTCCTGTCCTGGGCGATTCACCTATCCTATATCCTCGTACCATCCCTTCACTATCACAGTTTCTGAATTGCTTTTGAGCGGATTTCATGAGACTTCTTCGCACCCCACGCTGGCTTTTTCACCTTAACCCCTGCCATTGTCCTGGAAACGTTGGTCCGAATCAGCCATATTCTACAATCCTCTTCCCCAAAGTCCTTTCAGATTCTCTTTTTTGCTCCGTAGGATCCGTCTTCAATCTCCCTGATTCAGGTATTTCGTTTGACCCCTGCCACCCTGCCTGTGTCACTCGAGGCGTTATTTACCACACTGCCTTTTGATGGAACATACTTCCGCCTAGCTGAGTAGGCCTACAAAGTTTGGATTCTCAAGCCAGGCCATAGATCCTGAGTAATTATAATCACCAAGCCTTTGCTTCATGGACCACGTCTGCTGTTAGCCAACTAGCTCTAGTCTCCGCCGTATCTAACGTGCTTCTATCCGTAATACCAAGTCTGACTTCCTAAGTCCTAGTCTCTTGTGTGCCAACCCACAAATGTTATGGTTGTACTTGTTTTGATTAGGCTGACTGTAGGCGTCTCCTGGGCTTCCGATTGTTCCTTTCTGGTCTCCTATTCGTTCATCCTCCTCCAATTTTATTTTGAATTTAATTATTTAATCAAGATACTGAGGATATCGTTTAAATTTTTCTTTATTATGCGACCGAAGTGCAAAGTAGTCATCCAAGTATTGCATAAGCACTCTTGGTTACAGTGGTGACTTCTCGAATCCCTTTTCAAATTTGTCCATGTTTACATTTTTCCACAAGAGGTGAAAGTAGAGATCTCGTCGGTACTTCAAATATTTCCTCATAGATACTGCCATTAAATGTAAAAAAAATGATATTGAGACTTGAGACTTAATCTGCTATTACATTCGGCAGGACTTTTCCCACTAACTTTATCTTCTCATAGACCGAACCCTCATGACTTGCACACTTCAGTCTCCATGCCCAGGCTTGGATTTTTTTCGACGAACCATATCTTTCCCAGTTCAACTTAGATTCACCACACTATCCACTAGCACGAAGCCGAATCAGCTATCCGAACTAAATCAGGAGCTGGCTTTTACGTCTCGTGATGTATTTAATATTAACTCATCGCTATATCAACTTCTCCACGAGTCCATTATCTTCGGAATGAAGGCACTTGCTGGCGGGCGGCGCCACATCCTGCTTCTACGACAGCTTCCTGTTTCTAGGGAAAGCTCAGACGGTCAGCTCACCTAGCACCAGGAAGCTATCCTCTTTATAGTGTCTTAAGCCATACCTATTTAGCTTTCCAGACTACCCCGTCCTCGAGGTCATTGTCATCTCCCTCCGAATCTCACCTCTAAGTTGTGTCACTTATTCTGGCCTTGTATTCGCTTTAATATCACGATAACATCGCTTAAACTTCAGCGTTAAGAGCACTGCCTTAACATAGGGCTCAAACCCAAACAGAGTCTCTTAACCACCGTCTCATCAAGTCCTCTTCTACATAACTTTATTTGCTT